GCCATGTGTTGTTGCACTGGGAAGTTGACCCCTTCGTCCCAGCTCCTCTCCTTGACGACAAGCCCAGAGGAGCCAATGCGTATCTCGTTCCTTGCAGGCGCAATTTCCACTTGCTGAGCCCGCATCCAAGGCTTGCCAAGAATAACGTCCTCCGCTTGGTCAGGAACAACATAGAAGAACACCCTCTTCTGCTTATGCCCATCGATGTCCATGGCTAGGTATGTCACATTTGTGATTGCTTTTTTGATGACTGTCTTGACCTGTTCAAGGTCTCGGGGGGTAATGGGGATGCGTGGGAGGCGTAAGCGTCGAACGAGGGCTTTGCTGATTGTGCCATAACATAGGCAACCAGTGTCGATCATAGCCTTGGTGTAAAAAACTCCATTGATGCCGAAATTGACATACACTGGTTCCTCATCCATCTCCTTCTCAGCCTCCTTCCAAGCTCGCTTAGCCTCCAAATGCTCCTGGCAACGACTTCTGCCAGGAGCTACTCTTTTAACTCCTCTTCCTCACCATCCGTCTGGTCAGATGCGTCCGACTCTGAATCCACCAGATCTTCAATCGCAGGGAGCTTTGGGGTTGACCTCTTGACATGTGCTTGGGAATTGGGGCGCTTTGGTGGGAGTAAGGGGCACTTGTCGCTCCAACATCCTTTCCTGCCACATCGGGTGCACAATCCTTCTCTGCGCCGGCGTTGAACCTCCTGCTCGCTTGCCCACTTGGCTCTCTTGCCTGCCAGTTCCTTATTCTGCTTCTGGATAGCTCTGTTGATCTTGGTAGGCTCCCAGTCCATAACGTCAGGACGGGGGACATTGGTTTGTTCGGTGTTCTGAGCTCTCTGGGTAGTGGGGGTACTCCCAGTGCTAGGGAGATTGCGCAGCTTCTTCTCTGCTCTCCGCTGGGAAAACCTCTGGGCATCAATGTTGGCACCCAACTCGTGAAGCTCTCGTACAAACCCCAAATAGTCCTTCGGTAGATGAAGCATCGAGATGAGGTAGGTCTTCATCTCCTTGTTGAGGGTCCTCCGGAGGTAGTTGATCCGAACGGCGTCGGACCATGCAGCACCTCCTGCGTCGGCTAGTTCTTTCTCGAACCTTGGGTAGAACGCGGCGAATGATTCCTTGTCTCCTTGGGCCATCTCGTCGAGGTTGTTGAGGGCGTGTTGGGCTAAGTTGGGGTCCTCATAGGTAGAGGTCAAGTAACGGAGGAAATCTACCGGGTTGTGAGCTCCCCCTGGGCCTCCGCTTTCGTAGAACGCCGCTGCCATTGCCTGGGGTAAGACCCCTAAGCGAGAATAGATGTAGGTGAATTGGTCGGCGGGAGGCCCTAGGAGACAGCCATCTGTCCGCAGTTTGCCCTCCATCTCCAGCTTCCAGCTCCTATAATTCTTCCGGTTTCCGTCGAAACGGGGGGGGTCCGGCAAAGTCATCTTCTTCTTGGTTTGAACAGGCGGAGTAGGTGGTGTTGGGGTTGGTGGTGACGTCGAGGTAGCCTCTGGGGCTGGCGTCGAGGTCGGAGGTGTGGTGCCCAGAGAGCTCCCCTGCGAGGTTGTGATGTGGTCCTGTAAGACTCTGATCTGCAGTTGGGTGGCTTCCCTCTCGTTGGCCTGCTCGGCTCGAAGGCTGTCCATCTGGTCCTTCAACTGGGCTATCATCTGCTGGTTCTGGTCTCGCATCTGGGCCATCATCTGGGCCATCATCGCTGCCAATTGCTGGGCGTCGCCCTGCGGTGCAGCCGTTTGTTGTTCCATGTTGCCGTCGTGGCAGTTGTTTTCGATCGGCACTACCGTGTCTCAACCTTCGTCTGGTTGGAGGGACGGGCTCGCGCGCACCTCAGTGGTTGTGAGGGTTCGTGATCGTGGTCGTGGTGCCCCGGTCGTGCTTAGCTACTCGGCTCCCTTGCGCTCGAGATCTTCGCTCTTGTGGCTCGGTTGGGGATGTGGGATTCGTCGTCCAACAACGCGCGGCTCAACCAGCTCCCGCGGGCTAGTATTTTGCAGGCGACGTTGCAGCTCACCTGGTCAGCGTTGCCAGGGTCTCGCTCTTCACTCAACCAGTTCTCAGTTGCTGGTGTCTTGTGGGAATCAACAGCGGCCTCCTCGCAAGAAGGTCACTCTTCGCTCAGCTGGCTCGCTGTCCAGCACTTTTGCAAAACCCAAAGAGGCTCTGTTGTCCTGATGA